GGGACCACGTGACTCCAGGACACTGCAACCGTCATAAATATGAGTCAGTGGCCAAGCATCCAAATTTTGACCCCCCGGGACCGTGAGGACGTTGCAACAGTTGTAAGGGTGAAAAACGGCCATTAAGTCAGTTTGTGGATTTGTGTCAGGAGTGTCACCATTAAAATCCAGGCATATGATGCAATCCGGAACTTAAAATATCGAAAACGAGATTAAAATATGTACAAGTTAAAGGAATCTTTCGATCCAGGAATATTTGAAGCATAGTGAGGTGCTGATTCCTGCCCGTAACAACTGCCCTGATTCATTTAACGACCGGAGCAAGAAAGGTTGTAAAAATGGAACAAAACTCTCTTCCCCCCCCGCCTGGCTTAACAACAGTAATTTTTGGGTTCCGTTGTTGTAAGTTGAGGACTACTGCAGTGGTGGGATTCAGCTGGTTCGACCAGTTCGGCAGAACCGGTAGCTAATTTTTTTGTTGCCCAGGCCCAGAATGGACTTCCGGAAGTGGCGTCCATTCACACATTTGAATCCCACCATTGACTACCTGTAATTGTGTGAGCAACAGTTTGCCTTGCCTCGGTTTCTTTGCCGTCTTTCTCTCCCTGTGTGGGTTTTAGAGATTCCCTGTCGGCGGTAATCAGGATTTATTTAAAGAAGCCAGCAAGAGGGGGGAGAAAATGTTTTGCAGAGATTAACGAGGATTGGGGGAGCTGATCTTGGGTTGAATTGCTAGGCAGCTGGATCCGTTTGCTTAAGTCAGCATCTTGCTTAAGAAAGCTGCTTCTCCCTTTCTCTCCCTGGGGTCCTTGAGTGCAGCCAGGAGAACAGAGACAGAACAGAACAGAACAGAACAGAACAGAACGGAATGGAGTGGAACGGAATGGAATAGAATAGAATAGAAAATAGAATGGAATGAAATAGAAAATAGAAATGAAACAAAACAAAACGAAACAGAAAATAAAATAGAAAATATGGGATGGGATGGGATGGGATGGGATGGGATAGAATAGAATGGAATGGAATGGAATGGAATAGAATAGAAAATAGAATAGAAAATAGAATAGAATAGAATAGAATAGAATAGAATAGAAAATAGAATGGAATGGAATAGAAAATAGAATAGAACAGAATATGGAATAGAATAGAATAGAATAGAATAGAATGGAATGGAATGGAATGGAATGGAATAGAATAGAATAGAATAGAATAGAATAGAATTGAAAATATGAAGTGGAGTGGAGTGGAGTGGAGTGGAGTGGAGTAGAGTAGAGTAGAGTAGAGTAGAGTAGAGTAGAGTAGAGTAGAGTAGAGTAGAGTAGAGTAGAGTAATGAGTGGAGTGGAGTGGAGTGGAGTAGAGTAGAGTAGAGTAGAGTAGAGTAGAGAGTAGAGTAATGAGTGGAGTGGAGTGGAGTGGAGTGGAGTAGAGTAGAGTAGAGTAGAGTAGAGTAGAGTAGAGTAGAGTAGAGTAGAGTAGAGTAGAGTAGAGTAGAGTAGAGTAGAAATAATACCTCTATTGTCACTTTAAATGTACGCGTTGGGTGACTTCAGGCCAATCATGAGGAGACTGTGAGTTCTAGTCCTGCCATAGGTATGAAAGCTGGTTGGGTGATTTTGGGCCAATCACTGGGAGAATGCAAGTTCTAGTCCCGCCTTAGGATGACTTTGGGCTACACCGTCTTACTCAGCCCAACTCATCTCACAGGATTGTTGTGAAGAAAAATCTCTCTATATATGTAAATAGTTACTACTATTGAGCAAGGTGGCACCTTGCTCAATAGTAGTAACTGTGAGAGGGACCTTGGAGTCCTAGTAGACAATCACTTAAATAGGAGCCAGCCGTGTGCTGCAGCTGCCGAAAAAGCCAACACAATGTTGGGCTGCATTAACAGAGGGATAGAATCAAGATCACGTGAAGTATTAATACCATTTTACAAGGCCTTGGTAAGGCCACACTTGGAATACTGCATCCAGTTTTGGTCATCACGATGTAAAAAAGATGTTGAGACTCTAGAAAGAGTACAGAGAAGAGCAACAAAGATGATTAGAAGTCTGGAGGCTAAAACATATAAGGAACGGTTGCTGGAATTGGGTATGTCTAGTTTAACGAAGAGGACGAGGGGGGACATGATAGCCATGTTCCAATATCTCTGGGGCTGGCATAAAGAAGAGGCAGTCAAGCTATTCTCCAAAGCCCTTGAAGGCAGGACAAGAAGCAACAGGTGGAAACTAATCAAGGAGAGAAGCAACCTAGAACTAAGGAGAAACTTCCTGACAGTGAGAACAATTAACCAGTGGAACAACCAGCCTCCAGAGGTGATGAATGCTCCAATATTGGAAGTTTTTAAGAAGAGACTGGACAGCCATTTGTCCGAAATGGTATAGAGTTTCCTGTCTGAGCAGGGGGTTGGACTAGATGATCTCCATGGTCCCTTCCAATTTTACTATTATTATTATTATTAAATATATTGAGGGAGTAAATACAGAGTGAATATATAATAATAATAATAATAACAACAACAACAATAACAATAACAATAATAATACACACCCAGTTATAGTTAAAGTTATATAATTATAGTTATATATTTATGTGTGTGTAAGTATAACTATAACTATATAACTAACTATAACTGTGTGTGTGTATGTGTATCTTTATTATTGTTATTATTATACACACAGTTATAGTTAAAGTTATATAGTTATATATACACACATAACTATATATTATTATACACACACAGAGTTATAGTTAAAGTTATATAGTTATAGTTATACACACACACATAACTATATAACTATAACTATATAACTTTAACTATAACTGTGTGTGTGTGTGTGTGTGTGTGTGTGTGTGTGTATAAAGCCAGGATTTATATTATTCATATTAATATCTCAAGGTGGTTAACATCCTTAATACTCCTTGTTTTCCTTGCAATCCTGTGAGGTGGGTTGAGTAAGAGGGATTGGCCCAAATTCGTCCTAAGGTGGGACTAGAACTCACAGTCTCCAGGTGATTGGCCTAATCACCCAGCCAGATTTCATGCCTAAGGCGGGAATAGAACATGGTTTCCTGCTGATTGGTCCAAAGTCACCCAGCCAACTTTCATGCCTAAGGCGGGAATAGAACTCACCCTCGCCTAGTGATTGGTCTAAAGCGTGTAGGCAAGTGTGAACATGTGAAAAAAAAAATATCTGGCTTTCCACAATATGGCTGTCCAATTTAATTTTGGCCATCATACAGTCAAGCTACTAGTCCTTAATTTGATTATCCCTGCCTCCTTTTGTTTCTTTCCTTATTTATCCCTGCAGCCAGCGCAGAGTACCACAGTGTCTTAAACAAGGGCGGCTAACCTCACTTAGCGACGTGAGGACAATGAAAGCACGCAAATAGCCCTCCAAGCATAAGGAGGGACATTCTTGTTTATCGAAGTAGGGAGAATGTGCTGTTTGCCTCTTTAGCGTTTTGTTCTCCTCCAGATTTTTCCATGAAGCCAAATGTGGAACTTTGAAGCTTCTGCTTTGGGAGGAGAAAATCAAATAAGAATAATAAGAATAATAAGAATAAAGAAAGCCCTGAAAACTTGAGGCCTAGTAAACATGCAGAAATACAAAGTAAAAATCTCCCGGGCTGCGTGTCTGGGTCCGTTTCTGGGGTATTTGCAAATGATCTCCATGTTTCAGCCACATCTTTACAGCCCCAATCTTGGCTGGTGTTTGTAGTTTTAAAGCGGATTGAAATTTTGAAGCGACAAAGCTGGCAGAATCCTGAGCCTCCGGCTTCATTTTCAGCTCCCATTTTATCTGTTTTGTGTTCTGGGGGTTGATTTGGGTTGCGTTCCCATTATCCTCCTTCTCTCTCTCTCTCTCTCTCTCTCTCTCTCTCTCTCGTCTCCTGGTGATTGACCCAGTCTCTCTCTTTCTTTCTTTCTTTCTTTCTTTCTTTCTTTCTTTCTTTCTTTCTTTCTTTCTTTCTTTCTTTCTTTCTTTCTTTCTTTCCTTCCTTCCTTCCTTCCTTCCTTTCTTTTTTTTTTCTCTTTCCCTTCCTCTCTCCCTCCCTCCCTCCCTTTTCTTTCCTTCCTTCCTTCTTTCCCTCCCTCCTTTCTTTTTATTTCTTTCTTTCTTTCCCTCCCTCCCTCCCCCCCTCCCTTCCTTCCTTCCTTCCTTCCTTCTTTCCTTCCTTCCTTCCTTCCTTCCTTCCTTCCACGGAATAGGTCTATCTCAGTGATGGCGAACCTTTTAGAGACCGAGTGCCCAAACTGCAACCCACTTATGCATCGTCAGGTGCCAGGTGGGTGTGGCCCACTGGCTGGGCGTGGCCCAATGGGTGGGCGTGGCTGCGGTGGTAACGGCAGACTGGGTGGGACTAAAAAGTTCGCTCAATCAGTTCCAACTTTGTGAGATCTTTTTTTTCCCGCGAGAAGGTGAAATTGACTGATTGATTGAACCTTTTTTTTTTTTTGCACACGGCGACAGAGGCCTAAAGCGAAAAGGTTTTACAAAACCCAGCTGAAGGCCTAGGACTGGGGTGACCGTGCGTGTACCCACAGAGAAGGTTCGGAGTGCCGCCTCTGGCACCCGTGCCATAGGTTCGCCACCACTGACTTACGGTCCCCCTCTTTCTAGCCTGATGCCTTAATCACATATCAACTGTTTTCTCCAATGTTCTCCAGTATGCCGGCCTTCAAGGCCCACGCTTCCTTATCGTGTTGGTTAGCCGGCAAGTCCGAGAACCAAAGTCTCAGACATCTGGTGAGGAACCAGGTTGGGGAAGATGGTTGGGAAGAGACAACGCTTATGTCCCTTTCTTCTTCTGCTTGGACAGGAGTCGAAGCGTTTGCTCATTCTGCTTGTCGATCTCTTCATTCTTCCTTTTTCCGAGGGATAAATAAAGGCGACGGGGAGAATTAGCTCTTCAGCCAGCTTTCTTGAATTACGGCAGGTCTGACTAGGAGGGGAAGGAATAACGGCCTCTCAATTTTCTCTTCTTTTCCCTTAG